AAATCCTATCAGTGCAGCTTCTGCTGCTACTACAGTTTCGGAAGAAGTGAGCATGGCTACTAGTTTTGCAGCTTCTCTTAGTAAAAAAACTGCTCCTTTGAATGTTGGTCCAGGAGGTGATAATGGTATGTTAACAAAATTACAAATTTAACAGTATAGTCTGTCTAATGAAAAAAAGTATCATTTTGAGCATGTAGACTGAGCTACAAGCCAGTTTTAAGCTGAATTTGGTGAGGGTATTAAGCACATAATGGAGTTGGGATGTTCAGAAATATCTGGTTTTCATGAGACAGACTATAGTATTGCAGTTTAAAGTGTAATTTTAGTATATAATACGCTTGATGGGTGGTGTTTAGGTAATATTGAGACTGAGCCAACTGAAGCATTGAACATGAAAGCTTTAGCAATTGTCACTAGAGTTCGTGAAAAATTGACTGGTAAAGATTTTATACACGAACAAGAACTAACTGTTCCCAGACAAGTAAATTTACTCATACAACAGGCCACTGCTAATGAAAACCTTTGTCAATGCTACATTGGTTGGTAAGTATGAATTAATGAATTATTTGCTTTTATTTCTATTTGAATTTAATTTTTAAGTATTAGTCAGATTCAAACTATAATTTAATAAAAATTAAAATAAATCCTTGAAAAAGTTTAAATTATGACATTTTCTTAATTATATTTTCATTTTTTTTTTTTTTATATATATATTTATACGAGTAGCTATAGTTTTTAATGTCACATAATGTTATATTTCCATTATTTACTGTCATTTTTTATTATAATTTTTGTAAAATAAATTCTGATATATTTATTTTTATTTTCAGGTGTCCGTTCTGGTAAAATTTCATACTACGTCTGTTGTTAAAGAATTACACAATATACTATACATTATTGTTATTACATTTTATACACTAATTTAAGATTAAGAATGTTTTAAAATGTTTAATGTAGGTATATGAAATTTGTACATATTTTTTGTTTTTATTTAAAATTATTTCCATTTTTGCCCTATTGTATAAAAACCAATTTGGTGCATTTGTATTTTGAAATTTTTGTTTTTATGTTTTTGATCAAGCCTATGTTATTTTTACTTGATGCCAAGATTCAATATTGTATACTGTAAACTACACAACTCTACAAAATGTATATCAAACAATTAATAAAATATTTAAAGCAAAAATTATTGATACAAGTTCATATATATGTTGATGTATAAATATAGTTATTTAAATATCTTTATATTAAAAAAAAAAATCAATATCAACTTGATTCGTATTAGAATTTATTTTACATTTGACTACTTAGTTATTATTTTATTAAATGTAGCCAGATAAAACGAACTATTATAACTATTTTTTCAACATCCATCATAGCAATATAATCAGAGGAATTAATATTATGTGCTTCAAAGATTTTTACCTTGTTGGGTAACCATTGATAAAATCAAAATGTTTTTTTGAAATTTTTAAAATTAACTATCTATTAATCAAAGTAAATTGACTAATTTTAATGATAGATACAAAATGTCTGTGATTCACGATCATAGTCATATTAACACGAGAGGTGCTTCGACTGTACTTTACTAAAAATTCAAAACAGATGTTTTTGGAATAGGTAAGTTATTTTATAGAGCTTGAGTTCATAATTAAGCTATTTTTCAATATCAAAATTAATCACTATAGTTATTTTAGAGATGTGCCTATTTAATTGTTTATAATGCCTTAAGTATCCATAAAATCAGTTATGAATATGTTCAATTTTGATTATTACGTTACAATAGAGAGATTGACGAGGATCCTAAATAAGTGAATCATATTCTCAAATAAAATAAACAAGAGAAAAATACAATATTTCTAAGCAAATTGGATGTTTGAACTCTGAACAATTATAGTGTATGAAATCAAATACATGAAGAGCTGTATTAGTTGTATTACACGTAGTAGTATTTATCTAGATTTCGCAGTATTTTCATTTTTTTTTTTTCGATAACTTTTTTTGTTCCTTGGTTAAAAAGCTTAAAAATTCAATATACGGTTTCTCGTGATTTTTTAAGCGTACAATTATAATTATATATAGTCAAAATTTTCACAATCTGCGTAGATTAAATTGATAATTATTGCAAATCGCTGTTAATCAATGATAACGTTTCAAATAAAAACCAACAACAAAAAATTTTTATTTATTTATTTCAATACGATCTGCAGTAGCTGTCTGAATATAAGTATGTACCTACTACCTACCTCAGGTACCTGTTTTTTTAAAATTTTATCTCACACAGCCCCGCGTTCGGGAATATTATACCATTTTATATTTTTCTATGCTGTATTACGCGCGGTGAAATCCTTTAGTGCGCTTTCACGACGAACGTTGCTTAACCGCGCTTACCGCGGGCTCTGTCTCGGTACCTACTGCGCGCGGTAGGTTATCCGGTATAAACCTGTGTGCACGTAGACCGTAGCTAAGTTTACTGTCGACAGTCGTTGAGCTGCCTCAGTGCCTCGGCCGGAACTAACTTGCACTGCAGCGTACTCAGTTATTCGGTCGCACTATATAGTCGGCATGTCCGGTTCAGCCGGGCCTACGTTTGGTTCCGCAGACACTTGTCGTATTGAAGGGGCGGGCGGCGGCCGGTGCCATCTCAATATAACTTAGTCTAGTCTGCGTAATTTTCCTAGACGATTGGTGTCGGGAAATGTGCCGGTGAAGGTTTAGTCGGTATCTGTTGCACCGAAGCGGCGGCAGCCGGTGATCGGATATCGACTGCATCGCCGTCTCAAACATTATCACCGCCACTATTGTTATTGGGCATTGAACCGTGTATGGTCTAGTCATCGAATCGGTAAAATCGTGACACTCGCCGAAACATTTTTAGACTGACGGTTTATTGGTGACGGTTCGATCGAGACCGACTGCATCATAGGGAACCACAGCGGACGGGGACTGGATAGTGGATACTAATATCAGACGTAATATTCTGCACGTCCGGCAAAATATTTGTACGATAAATTCACCATCGGAAATCGGAATAGAATAAATAATTCGATATTTTATTCTTCGTGACAATAATACAGAAATTAGACTGTGACACTGCAGACATGAATATTATATATTTCAACACTATATAGTTAGCAATATCTAAAAAAGACGATAATTTTTGGTATCTGTTTTATTTTCGTAAGTATTAGCATTCCCAAACAATAGTCGGGAGATCTCATTTTGCGAGCGTTCTAAATCTCGGTTTCTAAAGTATTTTAATAAGATACAATATACTTTATATATACTATAATATAGTCTCATTTACAATCTAAAAAGAATTTTATAACTTTTATATTTTGGTTACCTATTGGCTATTTTTAGATTCAGAGTGGAACGATGAATTTATAAATTTTTACAATAACATGTAATTATATATTATATATATATATATGTGTGTGTGTGTGTATGTATACACTATACACGATAATTAATCGGAAAAATGCTTCAATTTTCAACTTTGAGAGTAGTTTTGGGTAGCGAATAAGAATTATTTTGTACTTTAAAGAGATTATAATTAAAAATTCACAGTTATTTTGAATGAAGTAGAAATATTAGGGAAAATAGAAAAAATATGCGGGTAAAAACTAAAAACTATTGATTTTACGCAAATCCAATTTTTATTTTATTGGTATAACTCTAAAACAAATAACCGTAGATAATTGAGATTTTTATCAAATGATTATATATTCATTTTCTATACATAATATAGTAATTTAAAAAGTATTTAAACTCGTTTGGAACTATTTATAGACATTTCAATTTATTTTTTTAACTTTTATTTCTAAAAATGTAGATAAAAATTGTTTTGCTCGTATAAAAAATATGTAAGGTCTTTGATAATTATTATTATTAATAATTAATTTATTATATTTTATTAAAGAAATAGTTTAAATAAACAAATTAGGTAATAGAGATTGTTATTTATCTTATAACATTTTTTATTACTCACTTAAATAATACATAATTATATAATATTAAGGTTCTATGCTTATGTATTGAATGATGAGTACTAATCTAACATTATAATCTTCAATGTCAATATTTATTTTAATAAATTTAAAACAAAATAATAATTATTAGTAATTATTGCATTTATTATATTATAATAAATTAATAACTATTATCGACGATTGCCGTGGTTTATACTGTATAGGCATAAATTTTTAATTTGTCATTAAATAATATTATTATTACTATTATTAATTATTGTTTTCCGTCTAAGGTTAAATAACAAGCTTTTGTTAATAATACAATGTTGAATTACAAAGGCGTCGAGTTAGAGTACATTTTTAATTTTAAAATGTATGAGGGGCCTTTTAATTAATTGGGAACTTTGAGCCCAAAAGCCCTAATAATTATACCTATGTTTATCATATAATTTTTAACTACACACACATTAATTGTCGCACATATCTACATAATGTTACATCGGTAGATATGACTATAAATTCTAAGTACTTTATGAAAATTTATATTTTTATTATATCTGAAAAAAGTTTATTTTAAAATGCGTTTTAATAGTTATTCTAAAACGAAAAATGTTCATAAAAATTTTCCATAACGTACTATTGTCATGAAATGAACGAAAATAGTACCTACGTTTTGGATTATAGTAAATATTAAAATACCAAAATATTAGGTTTATACTTGAAAAATTAATATACATATATATTTAATCACTAAATCTAAATATAGGTACATCACATTTTATTTATTTTCAATTAATCTATATTGTTTTTTTGAAGAAAATATGTACTTATACAATTGCTTATCCTGAAAAATTAATATTTTTTCAAGAGTAAGTTTTAAATTACCATATTTCGTAATTTAACTGAACTGATTAGAATACTCAACGCGAATAAAAAAAAAAAATGTTTTTAACTCATAATATATAATCGTTAATGATGGCACTGATCGTATGTAATTCTGTTGTATAATTACGCAATTGAAACATTATGTTATACAATCGAAAAGTTACTATGAAATTGTCTGCTCTAACGAAATATTGTCATTCAGATCGTTTATATATTCCGTATCGACATAGTATCTGCAACACACGATTTTTGTAGTTTATTTCGAAGAAAATATAATCGCCAGTTTTTGTTTGTGTCTAGAAAAATGGATCGTTGGACGGACAGAGTCTTCTTGGTGACTGAAGCCAATTCAGAGATCGGGCGGTCTATCATTGTCGAACTGTCCAAATATCCTTTGAAAATCGTCGCTGTAGCTCGGGATATCATCTTATTACAAGTATTACTAAAATAGCGTTTCTTCATAGTTATATATAGAACATAATAACAATACTGAATTTATGTAAAAATTGTTAAACCTTTGATTGGTATCAATGGTATCTATTAGGATTTAGAGGATGGCTAAAACATTACAGGTCACCCCCATTTCTATTAGTTTTCTATGGACCATTTTGATCTTTGTCTAGACCTCCATGGTTTCCATGTTATTTACAAGTTTTTTTTCCATTATAGGTATTATACCCCTAAAAATCTCAAAAAGCAAAAAAAACAATTCTTCTATTTATTTGTTTATTATTATCTCGTAATAACTTTCTTCGTTTCTTTTTACACTAAATATTTTCCAAACCATTATATACATGAAACAATATAAAAATTTAATTTAAGAAATTAATTGTAAATACAATAATTATTTATCATTAATCATTAGGTCATATTATCTATGCTTATTGCCAACTTTTTAGGTTTAAAAACAAAAACAATTTTAAAATTGTCTATAAAATCAAAGTATTAGTGTTGCTTAATATTAAATATCAACTATTAAGTGCTTGGAAGTTGGTAGGATATTCAAAATTTAAAAGTTAGAAATTTTTAAATTTTGTTTTTCTATAACATTGAACAATAAAAATAACGAAATATTAATAATCGTCTTGAATCCGTGCACAGAAATTTACCAACGAGTTACAGTCTTCCGTTGCTAAAATTTATCCGATTCAATGTGATTTGACTAATAAATCGGAAATAATAAATGTGTTCAAATGGATCGAAACCACCATCGGCCAAGGAGTGTCGGTTACGATCAATAACGCCAATACATCGATTAACAGCAAAATTTTGGGTGCGTATTATTTATCACGTGCGGAGAGGCGTCAGATTTATTCTAATTGTGAGAGGGGACGAGTCAGAGAAAATTTCTGTAATTATAAGCGTTGTTCATAACTGCTAACTTTCAAAAAAAGCTCGTTGTTTAAACCACACACTTTTATATTTTAATCTCGCATATTTTCCTCAAATTAAACTGTTCAATATCGTACAAATCAATATATATATATATCAATAACATATACATTTATCTAAAATAACATTATCATTTAGTACCGCACACTATACCTAGTTAAACATATTTAAACAAGATCACAAAATCTGAAATCAAATTTAGACTCATACGAAACAACAACATAAACTGTACACATAAAGTATGTAGGGAAAAAGAAAAATATATTTTAAATGTATATAATCGTTTAATGACCAAAGAAATAAATTTAATTGATTATTTAAAAACATTAGGGTGTAAATTTATTTCAATATAATTATACATAAAATTATTTTTAATTTATACTAAATTATTTTTTTATAATAAAATATGCTTAATTTTTAACTGTCAATCAAATGTGTGTGGTTTTGAACTATCAACCTTTCAAATTTACCTTTTTAATAATAGAATAAATATGTGCAGTATTGAACAATGCAAAATGTGTGGTTATGAACGGTAAATGTGTGGTAATGACAACCACTGCCAATTATGTGTGGCAGGTATAGTTTAAAAATATTGAATTGCATGTGAGATTTATTTATGGTGTGTTTCATTTTAGACAATACAACGATAATGATTTATATATGTTAACTAATATATTGCAAGTTTTTACTTTATTTACTTATAAAATAACTTATGAAATTATATAGTATTTGGACTTATCATTGGTGGTTGATTAGAAATGAGCCAGTACAAAAGATCTGAGAAATTTATGTTAAGTGAAAAAATAAAAATACTTTTTGTTATGATGGGTTTAAATATAATTCGAGACAAAATAATTATATGTGCGTGTTTCAGACGGCGAAACGAATGACTGGAAATATTTGTTCAATCTTAATTTTATCGCAGTAATTACATGTTGTAGAGAGTCGAGTAAATCGATGAAGAAATACGGAATTGATGGACACATAATAAATATAAACAGGTAGAGTACCTTTATTTAAAAAATTTAAAATAAGCATAATATTAATCATTTCAACATCTAATCAAAATATTATATTATGTATAATTTTATTATTTTTAAGGTTTACTGGTTATATAAATATTTATAATTATAATTTATACTTTTATTTTAACAAATATTGTGAAAGTTAGTGCGAGCATTTAAAAAATGCTTCAATTTAATAATTTAAAAATAAATATTACATTATTTGACTATATATATATAACACAAAGTACAATTAATAATCAATAGTATAACTAATATATTATATTATAATTTAACTACATTAGGTAATATTCCTATTGTTTTTTTATAATTAACATTAATTTATTCTTAAAATGTCTCTGTTGTCATGCAGTGCAGTTATATGAAAACTAAAAGGGAGGATTATCACTAATCTGGTTGGTTTTATTTTTAGCACTGCTGGATGCACCATGCTACCATATCCAGGAGAAAAAGTGTACAATGCTTCGAAAACTGCAGTTGCGTATTTAACTGAAGGGTTTAGACACGAGCTCATTAGTGATGGATTGAAAGTCAAAGTAACTGTAAGTCTTAAGAATAATTGTGGTTAAACACTATGTTTTTACAATTTCCTTTTTTATGGGCATACAAATAAAAGAGTAATAATAATTAATTAATAAATGATTTTGGTGTAATACAATATCCATTGGGTATAGCGTATTCAAATGTTGGGCTTTAATTAATTAATAATTATTTTAGTGGTGCTTGAATAATAAAATAATTTGTTAATTTATTTTTTATTCATGTAGAGTATTAATCCTGGAAAAGTAAACAATGAAGCTATCGGAAATGTTTTAGAGAATAAAAATTCTATTTTGTCGATGAAGCCCGAAAGAGTAGCGTCTACGGTGATTTTTGCACTAACTCAGCCGTCTGATGTTGTGGTAAGTGAAATTTAAAATAAATCAATTCGAAAACAATTAAATAGACTAACTGAATGGATTATATACATAAATATTATAACTCTAAATACTAGGCACTCTCAATTGCTAAAATTTTGCTTGCTTTTCAAAGAACTCAATTTTTTCGATAGAATGTTTGTAAGTTGTTTTCAAAAAAACATATGTTATTAGGAGATATCTACTATATAAAAGTGTCTCATTATGTATAATATATATATTATATTATAATGTAAACAAACTATTCACAAATTTTATTACGAAACAAATTCATAATAATTAAAAATAATAAAATTAAAATTATAATTTCAATAGTTACAGACTTATTAGTGAAATGCATTTTTAAATGTGTAAAAAAAATATTGTATTAATTTTTCATTTGTAAATATTGAACAAGTTATATCTATCAAAATATAAATGATATAATAACGTCATATAAATATTTAAAAAAAAAAATAGTTAGTAGTAAATAGTTTATTCATACATAATTGTTGTTTCAAAAACAATTGATTACTACCTAGATACTATATAGTATATAAACGATTTTTAAGACTGCACAGAAGGTTGGAAATTACAACTTTAATTTTATAATGCCGTAGTATCTATTTACAATGTTGATCGAATTGATGATACAAAAACGGGAAATTTTTTTAATATTCCTGGAAGTTCACATGAAAATTATACTGAAAAAACAGCGAAAACGATGAACACGTGACATAACCACTTGTGCCCCGTTTTTAGAGCGATGAGTATAATTTTCCACACGAGATATGGGTAACTCGTATACGTATACGTATCCATACGTAAGTTCATACACGAAATAATCATAAAGAATACGAATTTTCTTCCGATATTATTTATACTTAAGACCGATAATGTGTAACCGTTTACTTGCTGTGTTTCGTGTGGGAATTTACCAAAATTCTATCAGGAATCGTTTTTTGAACAACGTACTGATATTTTATTTTTATAGAGTTTTTAAACAAAAACAATTAATCATCTTCAGTATCGTTACTTGTTTTTTTTTTTAACCAACACGACGTGTCATATATAGACAACAGTTTCGCGAAATAATGATAATGAAGACAATATATTATATACAATATTTCTATCGAATATATAATAATTATCTACTATTTAAGCACCTATACTAACGTTATTGGCTAAAAGATCTATAATAATTGCCTTGTACATATGTTTCAGATTGGTGATCTGACCATTCTATCCGTGGGTGAAACCATACAAACGTATCCTCCACCCATCATATCCTTAAAGTAATATATATTCGACATAATATGTTTTTATACAGATAATAAATACGGCTTTGACGGACACATCGGATATATAAATATATAATATATGTTGTTTGTATATTATTTAACGATTGATTAGCATAAGGTCGAGTTTAGAAATAATTTAATAAATGCTATCGTCGTCTAGCCTCTAGGATGTTATCACGAGTGTTAATTCAAATATATAAATTATATACACAATAAGCAATTAATTTATGCCAATTATCCTGTGAAGAATTATATTATCAAAATAAAGTAGTACCTGTATAATAATTAAAATTATTATATTTATTATACTGAATTGCGTTCTGCGTTCATAAAAATTGTTTTTTTTTTTTTTTATTATTTAATAAATCAACCACGGCCCATTAACTCATTGTAAATTTATCGAATCTTTGGTAATTGTTCACGGAACTTAGCGCATAAGAATTTAAATGACTGATCCCAAATCGTTGTGAAATGAATGTCAAAATAAATTTGAAAAAAGCATGAAAACATAAAATAACGCTCGTTATTATATACCTGATTATCGACCGTTTAAAAATGACGCAAGACACAAAAGTGCACAGCAACATCGTGAAATGCACATAATACTGAACGTCACGTAATAACGCGAAAACACCAAATTGTATTGAAAGATTCCTAGAAATTTAGCTCTTCTGCGCTGTATACGAAAATACAGGTCCGAAGCTGTGTAACCGATGCAGACATTTTACGCATCGGTGTCGCGATAACAAACCTTTTAAATATTATTTTTGCTATACGGATAGGATTAATGCACCGCAGACTGATCGATATCGATTACGTTATTTTTGAGGGGACCTAAACAATGCGGACATACGTTTCCGCAAACAAATTTCCGATGGGAACAATCGACATTATATTGACGCTTTGAAATGTACAGTAATTGCGTAGTCGAATAATTCAGTGCTACGACTCAAGTTAAGTAATGGGCGTGTGGGTGGAATTCTATATTATCGTTGGTGGCGGCTTAGTCATATGTCGATTATGGTCGGCTGGATGGGTGTCATGGTCGGCGACGGCGACAGGTCGACTGCGAGGGCGTTTAGTGACGAAGGCGGCAGGCGGAACGGCGGCGGCGGCTGCGGCGGCGGCGCGGCGACCGCAGGCGATTTGGCAGTGGCCGAGGCCGTCTGGGAGGGCGGCCGCGGCGTCGACGTCCGTTCGGACGGCAAAGGCGACGGTGACGATTTGGCGGACGGCGACAGGCGGACGACGTCGGCCACGTGCGCGTTCTCCGTGTCGCTGTCGTCCGATTCGTAGTTATCGACGTTGTCGTGGTCGTCACCGTCGTCGTCGTCGTCTTCGCCGATTTTCTCGTCCGCCGACCGGAAATGCTCTTGATCGCGGTCGTCCGACGGCTTGACGAACAACGGCAGACTGTTCGAGTGACCGGTCTGATAGCTCACGACGTCCGACGACAAAGGCGCGCGGCTGGGCAACGGCTGCGGCCGGCAAGGCAGCGGCTGCGTCGGGGACGTCCGCTTGGCAAAGCCGACAAACGGCGTGGACGAAGCGGCCAGTGAGCCGCCGGTGCCGCCATACGACGGTGACGGTTTGTTACTTCGTCAGGGTTACGTATTGCTCTCTGCGTCAAGGGCTGGTGTACCGGACGGACGCCCGGAAACCGTTTTGGGGTCGGCCGTGTACAGCACGCGCACGCCGTCCGTTCCATCGGGTGTATTCGCCGTGCACCAGCGACCGTCCCGCTCTCAGGTGACCGTGGCTGTCGCCCGTGTTCGGTTCTCCATACGCGAACGAGTAGTACGTTTCGCCTGCGTACACCGTGTATAATATAGGCATTGCAAACGTTATTGTATAATATTATGGATAGACGTAGTCATGTATGCAGCAGTCCGATCGGCCACGACGAGAACAGGGGATATGCGCTCAAAATAAGACGTTACGTCTCCTTAAGAAACTTCACCGATTGAACACAACGCGTCCTCCCAGCATCGTCGTTTGAGAAAGGATTTGTAGAAAGTTAATAATACCTGACGTATAATTCAATATGGGTATGATGATAATACTTAATTTTATCAATTTATACCGTCCTACAAATAGTATTATTTTCTATTAAATGCGAACGTAAACGATACGAATACAAACATTTATAGTCATAACTCTATATATCGATTTCCTAAATGTATAATTTTCAATTTTTCTGTTAAAATGTTTGTCTCCGTACAGTTCCACGTTTATTATTAGATTATTTTCGTCATATACGGCTACATTAATTCATCTTAATAATATTTTAGATTTTATGTATGGTTACTCAATAAATTGCACATTTCTAGATACCCTTTTTAAATAATGCGCGTATTTGCTATATTGAAGGCATAAACGGTTTACGAAAATGATTTCGATTACTAATTGTATAGTCACATCGATACATTTATGCAATATATCAATATCTGCAAACATAGTGCTATTTTTATTCGAGCATGTACATACCTATTTAATTCTTTAATAATTATTTATCCAAATGATTTTCCTGTAATTACCAAGTATAATTAAAAGTCCATATTTAATATTTTCAAATCCTTCAAATTTTATGCCATTTAAGAATTGTTTATTATTATTTTTAAGTCAAGAACTCATTATTCGTTTTTAGATTAAAAGTAGGTTGTTCAAAAATAATATCTATTAACAGTCTAACAGATTCAGGGCAGTTGAAATTT